AAATAAAAAATGAGCCCGGCTGGTGTGGCTCAGTGGTTGAGTGTTGACCCATGTACCAAGAAGTCACCGGTTCAATTCCCAGTCAGGGCACATGCCCAGGTTGTAGGCCAAATCCCCAGTGGGGGGCATGCAGGAGGCAGCCAATCAACGTTCTCTCTCATTGATGTTTCTATCTCTCCTTCCCTCTCCCTTCCTCTCTCTCTAAAAAAAAAATCAATAAAAAAAAAAATTTTTTTTAAGAACTGCAAAAGTTGCTGCCAGCAAATTTAAACCACCCACCTGGTCAACCTAAACCTCTTTGAACATATGAATTTTTTAACTGGGAAGCAAAATTGATGAAGGAAGAAGCATGCATATGAAAACACTCTTCAGCTACTGTGAGGGATGGAGAAGAAAAAAGTTACTGTATAAAAACCAACTAACAGTACTATATAGTCCATATCACAATATTCTCTAAGTGGGAAATAGATTGGTCAGTCAAATTAGTTTCCTTAATTGCATCTGATGAGACAGGTACTATACCTCCATGGTTAGATGTTATGTGGGATACTGAAGAAAAAAGTCAGCCAACCTCCCTTCCTTTCCTGTAGTCATCAGGATTATTAAACTCAGTAATCAGACAAATATGTACTCAATATTGTACATGTACAGAATCTTGTACTGTATAATAGTTGGATGGCAGCAGGAGCTATTTCCTATGACTCTATCACAGTTGCAGAGTTCTAAACTTTTAACTCTTACAGATAATAATCAGTTTCAACTTGACAAAATACAATACAGTACTTCAGAAAAACAAGAATTTCATGATGTGATGGAAACCCTGAACCAACCAGATGGACAAACATAGAGTTAGAACTAGAGATTTCCAAAGAAAATGGGAACTGAAAACCAAGCAAGATATTTCCGGGTTAGATGGCAAGTTGCAATTAAATTTCAGAATTTCCCTCCCTGACGCAAGAAAACACATATTTAACAATATGTAAAATGGTAAAATCTATTAAGAATTTAAAAAGCTAAGAAAAACAAAAATAAAATCCAGAAAGCACCCAAACAAGAAAAGGGATGATAAACTCGAAACAATGGTGGTCATAGGGTGGGGAAGAAAACAGCAGATAGTGGAGGAGCAGAGACTGCACAAAATCACACAAAATGAAGACAACAGAAGCATCAGAATTCTCACTACATTTCAAATCCACCCTGGAAAAGAGCAGGCTGCACAGATATCTTTTTGCCTCTTTTGATTAGGAGAGGAGTAGAAACAGCAGCTGAAAAGAAATGATGGGAAAAGTAGGCCATGGGACTCTCTCTGATAGAACTGAAGATCATAGGCCTACACTTAATTAGGAATTGGGCAATGCTCTCAAGTTGGGACTGGAACGAAGCCCTGCTCAGTCAGGTAGAGAGAATCCTCACAAGACACTGAACAAAAATCTAAGAAAGAGATGGCAGAGCCAGATAGCATTTACTGCACTTACCTCAGCTTATCACACCTTCCCCCATTCCCTGAAGTAAAGAAAACAGGGTAGAACAGGAGATACCAAAAGCTTAAATTGTGGCTGGAAGAGGGAAATAAAGCTGTTTGAGGTTCAGGGGAAAGAGAATCAAGAAATCACCCACAACTAGCAGAACTGTATGAGTAGGAGAAAGTAAAAAAGATACAGCTTGGCAACTCTGTAAACATATTGTGGAAAGAAAAATAAAGTAACACAGCCCTGGCCCGTATGGCTCAATGGCCTGCGGACCAATGAGCTGCCAGGCCAGTTTGATTCCAGTCAAGACACATACCTCAGTTTCGGTTCGTCCTGTCCTCTGCCCTGGTCAAGAGGGAGGAAGCCAGTTGATGTGTCTCTCTCACATCAATGTTTCTCCCCCCAGCCCCCCATCTCATGATAAACAGAAAAATATCCTTGGGTGAGAATTAAAAAATAATAATAAAGTAACAGAAGATGCATAAAAAACACTCATGAGAAATGTCATACTTAAAATATTTACTATCTAACCCTTTACAGAAAAATGTCTGCTGATCCCTGGATTAGAAGATTCACTACTATCAATATGGTAATTCTCTCAGATATGACAGAAATTGATAAGGTGATACTAAAATTTATATGAGGAACCTAGAATTTTGAAAAGGAAGAACAAAGTTGGAGGACTATTATGGTCTGAATACAGGACTTAGTATAACGCTTCAGTGAACAAAATAGTGTGGTTTACTGTAACAATGGGCATAGATCAATGGTACAGAACACATAGTATAGAAATAGATCCATCCATGTATGGTTGATTTTCAACAAAGATGCCAAGGTAGTAATTTATGGGAGAAAGGACAGCGTTTTCAACAACTGGCTATCCATACAGAAAAATAGTGAACCCCAACCATATCTCATGCCATACACAAAAATTAACTTGAAATAGATCACAGACCAAAACATACAAGCTAAAACTGTAAGATATTTACAAGAAAAATCTTCATAATATTAGAATAGGCAAAAATTTCTTAGATAGAAAACAAAAACCATGATCCATCAAAGAAAAAGATAACCTAAATTTCATCAAAATGTGATCTTCAAAAGATATTACGAAAATGAAAAGGTAAGCCATAGACTAGGAGAAAATATTCACGGTACATATATCTGACAAAGAACTTATATACAGAAAATGTTTAAAATGCATATAATTCAAATTTTTTCAAATGGTCAAGAGATTTGAAAAGACACTTTACAAAAGGCAAATAAGTACCCAATAATTATACAAGAAAGTTCCTCAATATCATTTACTAGAAATTACAATTTCAATATCATTTATCAGGGCAATGCAAATTAAAACCAAACCCATTAGAAGGGCAAATTCAAAATGCTTAACAATAGCAAGAGTAGGCAAGGATGAGGAACAACTGAAACTCCTATACCTGGCTGGTGAGAATATAAAATGGGGCTACCACTTGGAAAATAATTTGACCATTTCTCACAAAGTTGAACATATATTTACCATACAATCCAGCAATTCTACTCCTAGGTATTCACCCAAGAGAAATGTAAACATGTCCACAAAAGGTACTGTTCATGAATGTTCACAGCAACTTATTGCTATGGTCAAAATCTGAAAACAACCCAAATGTCCAAGCGACTAGATGAACAAATTGTGATACAGATATATAGACCACTAACAAATAAAAAGGAATGTATCACTGCTATACCAACAAAATGAATGACTCTCAAAAAGCTGATGATGAAGTCAAGTATTGAGGAGTACTACTATACACCATTTATATCAACTTCAGAAAAGATGAATCAAATTACAGGAACAGAAAATAGACCAGTGATTGCCTGAGACTGGAGGTAAGGCTTTACTGAGACAGGTTACAGGGAGCTTTCTCGATTGACAGAAATGTTCTCTATCTACTGAGGTAGTATGTGGGCATATACATTTGTCAAAACATTTTGGGGCAGGATCGGGAGGAGGGTGTCTAGGGGGAGGAAAAGGAGAAACATCTGTAACAAAAACTAATTCATCATTAAAAAAAATCTGCCCTGACAGGTTTGGCTCAGCGATTAGTGCTTCAGCCCGCTGACCAGAGAGGCCTGGGTTTGGTTCCTGCTAAGGTTGCTGTTTGTACCAGCCCTAGTTGGGGTCATGTGGGGGGCAACCAATCGATATGACACACATCGATGTTTCTCTCTCTCTCTTCACCCCTCTTTCACTCCCACTCTATCTGAAGATAAATGCAAAAAATGTCCCTGGATGAGGATTAAAAAAAAAGAACTCATAAAAAAAAATTTTTCTCAAAATGTATACTTAAAAAACTGGCGCATTGCTCTGATCAGTGGTTCGGTGGTTAGAGCGTCAATCTCAAACCAAAGGGTCTCAGATTGGATTCTTGGTCAAGGGCACATACAGTACCTGGGTTGCAGGTTTGATCTCCACCCTGATTGGAGGCAACCAGTTGATGTGTCTCTCTCATATGGATGTTTCTTTCCCTCTCTCTCTACCCCACCCCACTCTCTTCCTCCCTCCCTCTCTTCCACTCTCTCTTAAAAAAATAAAATAAGATGAGATGAAATGAAATAAAATAAAATAAAAATGAAAAAATATCCTCGGGTAAGGATTAACAACAAAAAGTGTATTTTACCATACATAAATTGCACCTTCATAAACCTGATTTTTTTTTTTTTTAAGGGAGGGAAGGGGAATTTCCAAGATGTTCAAAGTATATGACAGGGATATGGATGATTATGCTTTTTTTTCTTTGCACTCTTCTATATTTTTAAAAAGTTCTGTCTGATCACCCAAATCAATTTTAAACTAAGTACAATAAAATAATGATCAAATTGTTTCACTCTTCAAAAAAATATATTTGGCTTTTCCCAAAATTATGGACCTAATCAGTTTTATTGCTTCTTAATACAATTTTTAAAAAAAGTTTATGCATTTCAAAACTTTTCAAAATCCTCAAAAGGCTTTTCACCTAAATTATCTAATCCTCACAACAACCATGGATTGGTCACATTTTATAAACTTAATCTCTGAAGAAAAAAATTTTAAAGCATCATTGAATTTTATTAATTTATAAACATAGTATATCCCTGGGGTTCTAGAATTTGGCATTTGGGGATTTTTAATTTAATACATGCTATCTACAACAGGATAAAAGGCAAACAAAATGGAAATATATATGTCCAATATATATGTCAAAGGTTTAACACATTTATATATAAAAACCTTTCATAAGTCAGTAAGAAAAAAATCTCAAGGGAACAATGGATAAATATCATTAACTGAAAACTAAAACAAAAAAAGAGAAAATGTTCAAACCCACTAGTAAACCAAAAGAAATACAGAGTAGAACAAGATAACCATTTTCACTATCACTTCATTTAAAAAAAAAATGCTCAAAATAATTCAGTATATTTTTAAACTAAAATAAGTTTCTCAAATTCTAACCAAACAAAACCTCAGAACAAGAGTACAGACATTTATTTAATACTATTATGATTACATACCTGACAACATACTAAGAAAATGAAGAGCGTTATAGCAGTCCATAGTACCTTCTCCCTAAACTGGATCTTATAACAAAATATAAAGAATAGCCCATCAAAACCAAGAAAAAGCAAATATAAAGCAAAAATCTCTATTAAAAGCATAGCCAACATTTCCCATCATGACATGCTATTTTTAACTCTTAAAATAGTCTCACCCTTGTTAGCAGCAGCTAAAACAAACAAGTGAACTTCGCAAACATAACTTTTTTTACTCTTTCAAGAATGTAATAATTTAAACACAGGTAGTCCTCATCACTCTATACCGTATTAACTAAAACTGAAAAGGATGCAAAGACAGACACAATCCAATATGCACACGTTTCAATTAACCTAATATTATGCAAAGTTAGGACTGAGTGTAAATTATATGAACATTTTTTTATAACCTCAAAGTAATAAAAAAGGAATATATTTCTAAATAGAAGAGTAAGTTTAACAAAAGTTTTAAATATCTCTTTTATATTTCTATGTTAGTTTTATGAGAAATCGAAATTACAGTAGAAGAGGAATGGCTGGAAACTGGTCAGTATGGGATTAACACTATTTTTGGAATTTAAATACCCTATCTCCAAAAGTAGGAAGAACAATGATGGAAGAACAATTTGATGCAGACACAATATCTTCTGAATGTATTCCTGTGATTTTTCTTTGTACTGAATGAATAAAAAAAATGGAAGGCATATACTTGCACAGCTGCAATTCATTTATGTAAAACAGCTATACTCATCAAAACTGACCCAGCAGATAGGGCCATTCATAGAAAAGTGGATCATATCATTAGGAAGTGCAGTATACACAGGAATTATAAAGATCACTACAGACAAACATTATTATCTTACCTAATACACAAGCCAAAAAGACACTTGTTTTGGAAATGTTAAAACTTATAAAAGTTATATTTGAAACCACGAAATATGCCCTGGCCAGTCTGACTCAGCGGTTAGAGTGTTGGCCCGAGGACCAAAGAGTCACGGGTTCAATTCCAGCCAAGGGCACATACCTCGGTTGCAGTTTGTCCCTGGCCCTGGTCTGGGTGGTGCCGGAGGCAACCAGTCAAGTGTCTCATGTAGACTTCCAGTCTCTCCCTCTATCTCTACCTGAAGATAAAATGGAAAAATATCCTCGAGGATTTTTTAAAAAAAAAGAAAGAAAAATATCCTCAGGTGAGGATTTAAAAAAAAAGAAAGAAACCATGAGATATGCTATCTAAACAGGTCTGTACCAGTTTTATTCACTTCTTGCCTCTTGCAAGGAAAAGGAGCAAGTAATATTTTTCCAAGTACAACCACAATAGGGTTGGGGAAAATAAATAAATCTTGCTAGTTTACCAGAATAAGTCCTTTAGGTACCTTCTATATTACAAAAATATTATACTTACTTTCCTTTCAGGTTTCTGAATTTCTGGTAGAACAGCACAGAAAGGTTTGATAACTTCTAAAAATTTGACTGTGGGAAAACAAAATAGAATAAATGTCCCTATTACAAAGTTTTAAAAAAAGAGATATATCTTTTTATAGAATCAAATGCAAATGTTCTCTAACTTTTCATGGTAATCCATCCCATTCCCTACTCCCAAAATTAATCATAATGTTCTCCATTTCCAATATAGAAAGGAAGAGAAACAACTTGAGACAAAAAACCCAAAAGGTGTAAGGGCTCAGTCAATAAGTACCACTACATAAAAAAAAAGCAACCCTGCCAGGGTGGCTCAGTGGATTGAGCATTGTCCTATGGATTGAGCGGTCCGGTTCACTTCCAGCTCAGAGCACATGCCCAGGGTGGTGGTGGGGGGTATGGGAGGTAGCTGATCAATGTTTCTCTCTTTCTCTCTCCCTTCCTCTCTCTCTCTCTAAAAGAAAAAGTCAATAAAAACTTTTTTTTAAAGGAGAAAATGCAGCCTACTATGGTACCCACAACACAATGCATTCAAGAAGAAAATAGGAGATTTCAGAAGAAGAAGAGAAGAGGAAAGTACAATAGGAAATGGGCTGAAACTGCAGAAATGACTTAATTTAAACTGAAAGATGCTGCAATAAGTGAGCAAGATGATTGAATCACCTTTATGGATAACTTTTACTTCATTAAGTCACTATTCATTGCTTGGTTGCTTTCCCACATAATGATCTCAACATATAGCTTAGAGAATGACAATTACATTTCATCACACAGTACTGTTTTCCCAGACTACTCTTAAAATATATAAAAGATAAACTAAGATTCTTTTAGGAGAGAGACCATCTTCTGGCATGACTGAAGTCAAGCCCTGCCAAACAACTGGAGAATGAAAATAATAATCTCTCAAACCTAAGTCTTGGCCAGTGTCTGCAGTGCGTAGAAACACAAGAGTTCACAACTAGCTATTGGTTATGATCATCTTCCCCTACACACATTGGATTCTGAACTAGTATCATAAAATTGTTTTAAAACTGACAATTACACTTCAACAGTTAGCCAAAGTCTATCTTTTTTATAAAACCTCTCAAAATGATGGCACTCTCTGATTTCCTAGAATTCTGAAATTCTCATGGGCAGATGTGTGTAACCCATACCATTTTGGACTATTTGGAAAGTAAATCTGAATTATGAAAGTGTTCATCTCTGATGCAAAACAAACAGCAACCACATCAGGAAACTTCCTAGAATCCCGCTTTCCCTTTCCAGTCCCACCTCAATCCAAGCCATCCTCCCAGGATTTTTGCCATTTCATGATCACCTCTGTTGGGAGTATTCATGTTCAAGCAATGCTTTCGTCTGCTACATGTCTACTCTTGTGTTGCAGAATTTTAACCATTATACTGTAAATAAAAGGCCAGGATCTCTTCTCCTCTATTTCCTTTCTAGCTTCCCCCAAAATCCACTAGTTGGCCAATGGGTGCACAGCTTGGCTGTGCAGCTACTCATTCATCCGACAAACATCTGAACAGCGATGTAATTTAATATGTGGTGCTGAGTGTTTAGAAGAGGGCATTAAAAGATATCTATAATACAAGGCCTTGTCCTTAAGGCTTAAACCGTACACACAGTGAGTTTCCAATAAACGCCTCAGAATGCCTGGAATGAAAATTGTAAGGAAAAAGCAATTCTACCTAACGTACTCCTTCCTTTCCCTAAATACATGACAGGCATCACTTTTCTAAAATTAAACAATCTTTGTTGAGCTTTCTTCATCACAACTAACATGCCAAGGGAGAGTGATTTGGCAATTAAAATATGAGGTTTCTAAGCTCCTGAAAAATTCAAAGTGGTCCAGGTTTCTCCAGGTTCTCTAACTCTCCGCCCCCAAAACGAGCAGCCTCCCTGGAGCGGTCCTCCGCGCTTCGCCACCTCTGGAGCGCAAACACCGGCTCTGCGCGTCTGCGTCCCCGCAGCGGCCGGCAAGGCCTCGCCAAGGTTGGAGGAGGCCTCCCGCCCACGCTCTGCGCAGCAGCCCGCGGGCTCCGCGACCCCGAGCGGGCGCCAGCCCCACCGCCACAGGCCGGTGGGCCTGCGCCCTCGGTGAGAGCCCCCCTCCAGATGCCACCCGCGAGCCCGGCCACGCTGCCACTACTCACTGCCCATGACTTCGGCTGGGGCGGCCCACCGGGGCACCGCGGCTCGGCGTTATCTCGGCTCCGGTCTCAAAGGCTCGGGCCTCGGCGCCCGCTGCCGAAGCGATCTGGCCGGCTGCGCGCAGGCTCCGCCTCGGATCACGTGGCCCGCATGCCCGCTGGCGTAGCCCCGCCCCCTGACGGGCCGGGTCCTGGGAAGCGGGCCACCGCGGGTGTCCCTGTGCGCGTGCTCCAGCAGGGCTGGGATTTGGGGACCTCTGCGAGCCCAGGGCGGCTCGGGCCTTTCCTTTATGACACGTGTCCAAGCTCAGTGCCAAGCAATGGTGGTTTCCTCGACAGCCGCGTTGGCCCTAGGCCCCCGGGCGCCCAGTGCAGCAGGTCAAGACCCCGGCCAAAGGAGCACCGGCCTGGGGTTCTGTCCCCCGGAGGCCTGCCAGCGTGACCCAAATGGCCTTTTAAATTTGCTTCCATCTTCTTGGAACCTCTTGGAAGTTTTTTAAAATTTGTGACACTTTATAATTAATAGTTTATGAAATCCCACTCTCTACTATGTATGCTTCTTCAGAATGCAGAGATCAGGCTTTTGTCCCCTGGACTAGTCTTTTATCCCTTTTTCCACAGCATGGTTAAAAAAAAGAAAGTGTACAAGTTTCAGAACTCAGGCAACCTTCTCCATTTTAATCCCTTCTCTACTTAATGGCTCAGGGCAATTAGCCTTTCTGGGCTTCAGGTATAACTAAGGATAACAATTTCCTACAAATGTGAAATTAAGCAAAGATTGATACATAGAAGGCCTTCCTGTAGTTTCCCCTCAAATTTTAAACCCCTGCAGTGTAACTTCTCCAAACATCTGCTGAAACAAGTTATTTCAAAGGTCAGTAATGACCTATAATTGACCTGGGCCCAGGCAGGTCTTCCTAGGGCCACCAGCAGGAAAGATTTCACAATAGGAGGCCAGGTGTTTTTGAAAGAATGTTTATTAAAGCTGGAGATGGTGAAACAGAGGAAGAGCTTAAGGTAGCACAGCAACAGGAGAAAGTCAGGGGAAAGGGGGCCTTGGAGACAGGTTCAGGCAGTTAGCCCCTAGTTGTTGCCACCTACCACTGCTCTCCTGGTTGCAAGTCTCCTGGGGTCCCTTGGAGTTTAGGAGATGCATGCCTGTGGAGAACTTGGGGAAGGAAAAGGTGCCTGTGTGCTCCTGGGAGGAAGAGTGAGAGCTGGATCCTTTTGTCTTGAAGCTTTTAATCTTTCTTTAGCTACAGGAATCCTAGAGGAGGTGTCCGGGGAGGGTCTTAACAGAATATTTGTTTTTCATAAGTGTTCTTCAATATGTTGATTTATCAGATGTGTGTAAAGGGGCCACAGTTATTTTCTAGTTAGTTTTGTTTTTAAAGAATGTCATTGAAGAGGGACTGGGACTAAGGGTGGTCTGCCCTGGGACAGTCTGGAATGTGTAAACCATTTGCTCCTAAGTGTCCTTGGTTAGGGAAGATAAAACCTTGTGATTTATTAGCTGACTGTAAATTGCTCAAATTGTTTGGCCTTGTCTAATTATTTTGTCTCAGTTTCCCTTATTCCACTTATCAAGGAATTTCCCTAGCTTCTTACTGTCCTGCCTCATAATCACTAAATCCAGTGATCCGTTCTGATGCTTAGGTATATGTATAAGAAGGAAACAAAATACTTATGTGTGTGTGATTCTCTCTTTAAGCAATCTCTAGCCAGGCTACTCTGAGCCCTTTCTCTACTAGGCCTTACATTAGTCTATAAAGACTTGAACAAACACTAACATTTTCTAACAGCTCCATCCCTAGGATCACCCTGCCCACCCTTAAAATATCTTCCTGGGAAAGTTCCAGGTTGCCAAAGAATTTACCTTTTGTTCCAGGCAAGATAGGGTCTCTGTCTTCCAGCCTAGTCGGAGGGTAGGAGCCTAACTTCCATCAGTTTCACTTAAACTCAGATGTGTTTCATGGGGACCAAATCCTCCTTCCTGCTTTTTGTAATTTTCAACTTCCCCTACTCTGTGAACCCCCACTCACCTCCTCCCTGTTCCCTCATTCTCTTTTTAAACTGCCCAGTTGCCTCTACAAATCAAAGTTGAGTTGAGTTTATGCTGGACTGTTTTCCCTACTATAGTAGTATATTACTGATTAAAATCTCTCCTGACCACTTTAATTAGCGTTTGACTTTATCTTTGAACACACACACACACACACACACACACACACACACACACACGGCTGGCATGGGTCTCTGCTCCACTTAAGGTTATCTAGGACAGCTCCAAGGCTGAACACTTGGCTCATCACAAGTCTCTCTCACTTGCAAGTTTGCCATTTGGTGCTGGCTGTCAACTAAGACTTCAGGTGAAGTCCATAGGCCTTCTCCATGTGGACTGAGCTTCCTTATAACATGGCAGCTGGCTGCCAAGTCATGTCCTTGGAAGTGACACAGCATCACTTTCAGTGCGCTGTATTTATACAGGCAGGCATAGGCCAGCTGAATTTCAAGGGGGAAGGGAAGTATCTCCAATTCTAGATGGGAATGTGGCAAGGTTCTGGAAGAGCACATGGGACACAAAATACTACTCTGACCACTTTTGGAAAATAAAATCTGCCATAGTCGTCATCTCATAGCCTGTGACTTCATTCTTATCTCTTTCTACTTTGTATTAGTCATTTTCTTTTTAAAATCCTCACCCAAGGATATTTTTCCATTTACTTTCAGTGGGAGGGAGGGAGGAGAGAGGGGCAGAGAGAGAGAGAGAGAAAGAAACACTGATTCAAGATCACATTAATTGGTTGCCTCCCACATGATCAGACCAGAGCCGGGGTACGCAATCAAGATACGTGCCCTTGACTGGAATCGAACCTGTGACTCTTTGGTTCACGGGCCAAGGCTCTAACCACTGAGCCAAACCAGCCAGAGCAGTCATTTTCATACTTGTCTAATGTCCGCTAGCTACACCACAATAAAATTCTGGTTGGCAGGGAGGTTCTTAACTAATTTTTGTATCTTCCACAGTAACCTACAAATGGTTGATTTAAATATAGTTTTGACACGAAGTTCATGAATATAACATCCTGTCAATAAAAATGCACTAGATTGAAAATCTAATTGTCAGAAGGAAAAGAATAGCCTGCACCTCTCTTTACTGCCTATTTCTGGGACAGCTCCATATTTCAAGTAAAAGCCTGGGAATAAGCTTTGACACTCCAGATAGCTTTTATTAATAATCCTTCCAACATTCTTCAGTCTTTCTTCTATTACACACACTCATGACTTTTCTTGTATAACGACATATGCCACCTAATGTACATATATTAAAAATATCACCCTTCCTTGACCTCCCACACTGTTCTAGTATACCAAACAAAAATATTTCTCTAAGTCAAATGCTGTATCTTCCATAGATTCTTAATCCATTGAGTATAAGGGGAACCTATTTTATCTTTTACCCTTATGTGTTTCTATTGTCCAGAACAATGCCATATATGCAATAGGTGTCCAATAAACTATTTATTGAGGAAATATTTACTCTTATAGGGTCATTTCTTTCTTTTCTTCAGTTATGGATGGTTCTCCATTTGAGTCAAAGAAGACATTGGGAAACAGCACTAAAGTAATATACTTTTTTTCTTTATCTTTTTTGTTTTTATTACTCACTAGAGGATATTTTTCTGTTTCTTATTAGATAGAGTGGGAGGGAGGGAGACAGACAGAGACAGAGAGAACCATCGATGAGATAGAGACACACTGACTGGTTGCCTCCCGCACAACCTAAGGCTGGGGATGGACCGCAACCAAGGTGCATGCCCTTGACTGGAATTGACCCGTGACTCATTTGTCCCCAGGCTGATGCTCTAACTGCTGAGCCAAACTAACCAAGGCTACAGTAATATACTTTTTTTTTTATCCTCACTTGAGGACATTTTTTGCATTTATCTCAGATACAGCAGGAGGGAGGGAGGGGGAAAGAGAGAAAGAGAAACATCGATGTGAGAGAGACACATGGAGTGGTTGCCACCCACACAACCCCAACCGAGGCTGGGGACAAACTGCAACCGAGGTATGTGCCCTTAGTGGGAACCAAACCCCAGACTCTCTGGCCTGCGGGCCGACGTTCTAACCACTGAGAAAAATTGGCCAAGGCTACAGTAATATACTTTTTTTTCTTTTTATTGATTTTAGAGCAAGAGGAAGGAAGAGGGAGAGAGAGATGGAAACATCTCTGAGAGAGAACATCAACTGGCTGCCTATTGCATGCCTCCCACTGGGGATTGGGCCCACAACCTGGGCATGTGTCCCGACCGGGAATCAAACCAGTGACCTCTTAGTGTTTGGGTCAATGCTCAACCACTGAGCCACACCGGCCAGACTACAGTAATATACTTTTATTAAAAGTTTTAAAAATGGGAGATTCCAAAATGGCAGAGGAGTGAATGGAAGCTACATAGACCATCTCCCAGGACCAAACTGGAATTACAACTAAAATAAAGACAAATTGTTGGGAAAAAATAACAGAAAGTTGCTGGAGAAGACCCATATAACCACAGTCACAAAGAGGACACAAAATTGAGCCTGGTAGGAACTGCAGAGACTAGAGAGGCGAGAGGGCAGGATGGGAGCCCACGGACAGCAGCTGTGTTAGCTGTGAGCAGCTACCTCAGGGTTAAAATTTCAAGCTGGCTCCACAGTGCAGAGAGCCAGGAAAGAGCACTAAATTAGCTATAGCCACTCACCTTGGGCTCCGGCAGAGGAAGGGCAGGCTGGACTGGAACTGTGTGGAGAGACTCGGGAGCTGGGGGAGCTGGGGGAGCTGGGGCAGCAGGGGGAGTTTTTTGCTGAATCACTCCCTCATGGGACAGTAGCTATCTTGCTTGAAGGCCCCTTCCCAGAGCCCCTGAGAGAAGCAACAGCCCCTTGCTCAGGAATTTAACACCACCCAGCCAGGCCAAAAAAGGCAAATTGAGGTTCATTAGCAGTGAGCAAACACCTGCCCAACCCTCCAGAAATCTTCTTACTCTGAACATCTGAGGGATTTTTTTCATTCAGCTGAGGGCTAAACACAAGGCTCATCAAATAACTGAGA